TATAATTCCATTTATATGAAATTTTCAGAATAGGCAAATCCACAGAAATAGAAACTAGATTGGTAGTTGCCAGGGCCTCAGGGAGTAGGAATGGGTAATGACTATTAATGGGTGATGAAATGTTCTGAAATCAGACAGTGGTGACAGTTATATTGTTCTGTGACTATCAGTGAGTTATACACCTCAAAAGCATGAATTTTATGGTATATGAATTCTATAATAAAGCAGTTTTGAAAAACAGTCTGAGTCATCTTTAGTTTCAAATCTACCCTATAAAATATGGACATATTCTTTTATATACCCACATACACATGTATACCCAAGCCCATAGTTTCTGGGTATTTGAAAATGCACATATTTGACTTTTCCTTAAGTGATGAAAAATCAGTTTGCTTGTGTTCCAAATTAACAAGCTAGTTCTATGTAGATATATAGATCTGTGGACCCATTTGACTATTTCTAGTATTTATCCAACATAGTATAATGCATATGGATCATTTCTGGAAAGATTCCTAGAACTTCCTAACTTAGAAGACATTAACAAGTTACATTGATTTCTATCAGGCCAATGTCATTATATTAAAAATCTAAGTACTTAAAATTTGTCAGCCAAAGGCATTTCTTTATATCATTTATTATGTGCCACTAGTTAGACAGCTATGAGAACTAAAGAAAGTTCAAATTAAAATATCTGCACAGTTAGTCTTTCCCCTAAAATAACCCAATCTGGAAGATAGTATTATCACTTCTGCAGAGCAGTGAAGTCATCAACTTATATAGGTCATGCTTATTTTTCTCTTCTACAAATTTCTTATCTATTGCACACAGACCCTTTTTGGGAAGCCACTAGTATGAGAGCAACAGAAGTGTGAATTTTCTAACACCTCTTTCTGTCAATATTTTCCTTTAAGTTCTCCCTTGTTCCATTACAAGTTTGGAGCTCAAGTCATTTTCTAGTCAATAGCTCTTTGTAGCTTTTGACTGAACCAAGAAATAAGGAGACTCTCTATGGAAAATCAAGTCATGATTGACCATTACAGAAGAATCAATTTTAGTCAGAAATACATAAGTTTGTTTCACTTGAAAATTAAACTGGTACAAGAGAACTAGGTTGTAAATACTGTGACTGACATAGTACACACTGAAGACAACCAATTGAACTGTCAACTTCACATGAGCAAATAATAAATAACTAGTTTTTAGGATCTTTTGATCTATATCATATATATGGCATTATATAGCAGAATTATTAAAAAGCTTTTTCAAAAGCTTTACAAAAAATACTAATCAACCTTATCCCAATTGTTTAACATACCATAATGAATATTAATACTCCTGGTGTTATGTGAGTGGCAACCATAGACTTTATTATAATTTAGATCACTTTGGGAAAATTTTTATTTATAAAAATTGTATGTATAGGAGAATTAAAAAGCTAGAAGCAGTTAAGATAGTATTAACTAAACTTTTGTAAAAGTTTATAATAATTGATAATTATGCTATCCTTTAAAAAAGCTCCAATTCACTTATTTTTAAGAGAAAAATCTATGTTCAAACACAAATACCAACAAGTATGTCAAGCCCCAGTGCTTTTTATTATTTATCTTCTACATTTCTAAGATTCAGGGATAAACAAGCAAAATCTTTCTCCTCTAAGCAAATCCAAAGATCACTAAAATTTATGAATAATGAAATAAAAGTAAACTGAGCAGCTTGGTAAAAGCAATAAAGAACTTCTGAGACTGCAATTATGTTTGGTTCATGTAATATTGACTTGGTTTTAGTAAATAGATACACTTCTTGCGTGGGCTTTGAGAAAATATGGAGCAAGCCAGACAAATTATACTTCAATACAAGACCAAGAAAAACAACCCAAATAATAAAACCTTGGATTGGAAGATTTAGAATTCATCTAGTACATCTTCCCATTAATCAAGAATCCTCCTAACAACATTCCTAGCAGGTGATAATTCAAATGCAATTTTCTAAGTACCCCACTTGCCAAGAAAACATGACTACATCATCGAGTGGCCACCTCCCAAGGTCAAGCTAGTTCTTCAGAAGCCTATTCAACTCTTAACGATTCTGTTTCTTAGAAAATTCTTAAGTTGGGATAAAATCTTCTCTCTGGAATAACTATTTTTACTCTCCTTCATACCTTTTCTTCCTTCTTCTAGTCATCCTTCATGATCAACTTGTATCATAGCTTGAAGTCATAAATAATAACTCTTTCATGGAGCCAGGATTTGAATCCCAGCTGCCTGACTCCAGACTTCATCCTCTTAACCAGATTTCATTCTGTTTCCCTGTGATAAAGGAGGAAAAGCCAAATAATCCAGTCTTCCACGTTCTTTCAAGCTCTGGTTTTCTTCTCACTACCCATTTTCTATATAAGTATATTGGACGAAAATTTTTAAAAAATATTTTCTGCCCGGAGTTTTTTAAAGTACTAAAGGATTAAGTGAAAATATTTTAAGTGACTGAGTTTAACAGGTTATTAATGTTGAATATATAATTTTAAACCCCTGAAATTATATGTGGTATTTTACATATGGGTATGTGTGAATGAGTGAGAGTGCAAGTGAGCATCTTTCCCCCTTGTGAGAAGATGTGTAGCTTTTACTATATTCTTAGATGGATTATAGATATACACAAAGTCAGCATTGCCTCAGATCACCTCTGATCAACCGAGTAAAAAAATTTATCCATGTTTTCTTTTTTTTTTTTTTTTAAAGATTTTATTTATTTATTTATTTGACAGATCACAAATAGGTAGAGAGGCAGGCAGAGAGAGAGAGAGAGAGAGAGAGGAGGAAGCAGGCTTCGCGCTGAGCAGAGAGCCCAATGCGGGGCTTGATCCCAGGACCCTGAGATCATGACCTGAGCCGAAGGTAGAGGCTTTAACTCACTGAGCCACCCAGGCGCCCCTATCCATGTTTTCTAAGAACATGAAGCAAGAGGAAAAAATTTCTTGAATGCAGGTGAATTGTGATTATAATTATCAAAGTTGGGAATTTAATCTTGAGCAAATTACTTGTTGACTCAGCCTCAGTTTCCTATTTTGGAAACAGGGTAAAAATAGTACCTACCTTAAATAATTCCAAGACTAAATGAAAAGCACTTGGAACAATTTCTGACACATAGTTGGTACTAAAAATACCTTAATATTATGAAGAATATGGTGTGTCAGAATGGTCAAAGCTAAAAGAAGAATAAGACATATCCTCCCAGATGATTTGGGAAAACTCATTTACACATTAAAACAAGTACTTTATTGAGTACAAAAAAATCTCCTGCCTGAATATGAACTAAAGTGGGGGACTTAGAAATTCATTCATGAAGCAGGCATGTTCTACTGAAACACCTCAGTAGAAACATGTGAGAAACACTGCTGTGGGAATTCTCCAATTCGGCAGTTTAATAACATTTGCCAAAGAGGGAATAATTTCTTTAGCAACAAAAAACAAAAACAAAAACAAAAAAACTGAAAAATGATCAATTTTACTATAAAATTTTAACTTCTTATGGCATATATTGTCAGAAGATAATAATACTCCATAGGTCTCTCATTTTTGCATGTCTTGGTAGCAGAGGTACTGAGAAGTTTTCATGAATCATCTTTTCAAGGACATTTATTTAGCAACAGCTTTGGGAAATAAGATAGGGCATGTTTGCTGTCCAGCATAATAATGGCTCCCTATAGGGTAAATATTGGACAGATATTCCTGTTGGCTGTTATGAAATACTGCCATGTTCTAAGCTTGGGGTACTATTCTGTAATGAAACCTACCACATGTGCAAACATTAATTACCTGGCCCTTGTCAATTAGGCTTCAGAAAAATCAACCCAGGAAAATGCTGACATTTTGGCTACTGCTATTGCTGTGAATAATGAACTATCCTTTTTCTCTGATCCAGAGGTCTCATGTCTTCTGCCAACATCCATGAAATTGTGGTGACCTAACTTATTAGCTCACAAGCAGGATAAAATCTTGCACCCTTCACAGTTATTTATTAAACACACACAGAACACGCACATAATATCATTAAGTCTGAAGTCTGAAATGTAAATGATAAAGAAAATATACTTAACTATATGAAAGACAATAGGTCAGTAGCCTAAATTAAAATTAAAAAAAAAAAACCCTAGGGAAAAAAAAGAAAAAAATTTTTAAATGAGATAAATATATGAAAAGCAAAAAATATATATAAATGTTAAATATGTGAAAATACAAAAACTTTTATAAGAAAAATATGTTAAAGCAAAGAAAGATTTAAATGGATTCTATTAGCTAGGATCTTGTTGAGAATGTTGGCATCCATATTCATCAGGGATATTGGTCTGAAATTCTCCTTTTTGGTGGGATGTTTGCCTGGTTTGGGGATCAGGGTAATGCTGGCTTCATAAAAAGAGTCTGGAAGTTTTCCTTCTGTTTCTATTTTTTTGAAACAGCTTCAGAAGTACTTTGAATGTTTGGTAGAATTCTCCAGGGAATCTATCAGGTCCTGGGCTCTTGTTTTTTGGGAGGTTTTTGATCACTGCTTCAATCTCATTACTAGATATTGGTCTATTCAGGTTTTCAATTTCTTTCTGATTCAGTTTTGGAAGTTTATAGGTTTCCAGGAATGCATCCATTTCACCTAGGTTGCTTAACTTATTGGCATATAACTGTGGATAATAATTTCTGATGTTCATTTCTATTTCCTTGGTGTTAGTTGTGATCTCTCCCTTTTCAATCATAATTTTATTCATTTGGGTCCTCCCTCATTTCTTTTGGATTAGTTTGGCCAATAGTTTATAAATTTTATTTATTCTTTCAAAAAAACAGCTTCTAGTTTCGTTGATGTGTTCTACTGTATCTCTAGTTTCTATCTTACTGATCTCTGCTCTAATCTTGATTATTTCCCTTCTTGTGTGTGGGGTTGACTTAATTTGTTGTTGATTCTCCAGTTTTTTCTTTTTCCCTAGGCAAAGAACTTTATGAATCTTGTTTTAAACTTTATTCCCAGGCTTCTTCAGCTTAATTAGCTGCAAAGAATGAATTGCGTATAAGCAAAAACTGAAAAGAGCTGCAGTGTCCAAGGGGCTTGGGCTTAAAAATATTAGAGATCTAGATTTTACCAGATCCGTGAACAAAATTTTAAAAAGCAGTCATAATATAAAATAGCAGCTCCCAGTAACTTCTTCAAGTTTTATCTTCTCCAGAAGTTGACTCAATTCAGTTTGATTCATTCTTGGAAGCTTCATCAAAATTCTCCACAAGATCTGGAACTTCATCATCATCATCCTCTCTGGTAGCAAGTGGTGCTTTTCCATCCACAGATTGTTTGGGCAGAGCTTCAGCCAGTCTTCTCAAACTAGTCAGACTGTCTGCACCAAGTTGGTTTAAGATACTCGGTCGCATTTCTGTCAGCTGCTTTGTCTCAGCATGGCCTGTACTGGTGAAAGTGTTCGCTGCCAGCGATGCCTGAACTTTGGGGTTGCTAAAGTGGATCACTGTTCCTTGGTTTGTGAACATATTCACTTCTTCAATACCAGAGATATTGTTTATCCCTAACTTCTTTAAAGAGAACTGAAGTTTTTTATCATCTGCTGTAGCTGTTCTATGAACCACCTTCTTCTTTTGGCGAGCAGTTCCTTTCCCACTAATGCACACTCGTGCTTGCAGTTTGGCAAGTTTCTCCTTGTTCATAATAGTTTCTTTCATCTTGTTGGAGCGGAAATGGGACGGCGCGGGGGACTAGGGTTGGCGCTCAGGGGGTCTCGGGCAGACCAGCTGAGATTAGGTGCACACACGTGGGGATGCAAGATGGCCGATTCTCCAGTTTTTTAAGGTGTACAGAGAGCTGGTGTATTCTGGATTTTTCAATTTTTTTGAGGGATGCTTGGATGAGTATGTATTTTCTTCTTAGGACTGCCTTTGCTGTATCCCATAGGTTTTGGACCAAAGTGTCTTCATTCTCATTGATTTCCATGAATTGTTTAAGTTCTTCTTTGATTTCCTGGTTAATCCAAACATTCTTAAGCAGGGTCCACTATGACCAGGTGGGATTTATCCATGGGATGCAAGAGTGGTTCAACATTCACAAAACAATCAATGTGATAGAAAAAATCAATAAAAAAAGAGAGAAGAACCACACGGTATTGATCTCAATTGATGCAGAAAAAGCATCTGACAAGATACAGCACCTGTTCCTAATTAAAATGATTCAAAGTATAGGCATAAAGGGAATATTCCTCAATCTCATAAAATCTATCTATGAAAAACCAACAGCTAAGATCATCCTCAATGGGGAAAAGCTGACAGCCTTCCCTTTGAGATCAGGAACACAAGGATGTCCATTCTTGCCACTGTTGTTCAACATAGTACTAGAAGTCCTAGCAACAGCAATAAGAAAACAAAAAGAAATTAAAGTTATTCAAACTGGCAAAGAAGAAGCCAAACTCTCTCTTTGCAGATGATATGATACTTTATATGGAAAACCCAAAAGACTCCACCCCCAAACTACTAGAACTTATACAGCAATTCAATAATGGGACAGGATACAAAATCAATGTATAGAAATCAGTTGCTTTCTTATACACTAACAATGAAAACATAGAAAGGGAAATTAGAGAATTGATTCCATTTACTATAGCACCAAGAACCATAAGATACCTGGAATAAACCTGACCAAAGAGGTAAAGGATCTGTACTTGAGGAACTACAGAACACTCATGAAAGAAACTGAAGAAGACACAAAAAGATGAAAGAGGATTTCATGCTTATGGGTCAGAAGAATAAACATTGTTAAAATGTCTATACTGCCTAGAGCAATCTATACTTTCAATGCCATCCCAATCAAAATTCCACTGGCATTTTTCAAAGAGCTGGAGCAAACAGTCCTAAAATTTGTATGGAACCAGAAGAGACCCCGAATTGCTAAGGAAATGCTGAAAAAGAAACACAAAACTGGGGGCATCACATTGCCTGATTTCAAGCTTTACTACAAAGCTGTGATCAACGAGACAGCATGGTACTGGCACAAAAACAGACACATAGACCAGTGGAACAGAGTAGAGACCCCAGATATGGACCCTCAACACTATGGTCAAATAATCTTCGAAAAAGCAAGAAAAAATATACAGTGGAAAAAAGAGAATCTCTTCAATAAATGGTGCTAGGAAAATTGGACAGCTATGTGTAGAAAAATGAAACTCAACAATTCTCTTACACCATACACAAAGATAAACTCAAAATGGATAAAAGACCTCAACGTGAGGCAGGAATCCATCAGAATCCTAGAGGAAAACATAGGCAGTAACCTCTTTGACATCGGCCACAACAACTTCTTTCAAGATATGTCTCCAAAGGCAGAGGAAACAAAAGCAAAAATGAACTTTTGGGACTTCATCACGATCAAAAGCCTCTGCACAGCAAAGGAAATAGTCAATGAACTAAAGAGGCAACCTACGGAATAGGAGAAGATACTCACAAACGACACTATAGACAAAGGGCTGATATCCAAGATCTATAAAGAACTCCTCAAACTCAACAAACACAAAACAGACAATCACATCAAGAAATGGGCAGAAGACATGAACAGACACTTCTTCAAAGAAGACATACAAATGGCTAGCAGACACATGAAAAAATGTTAAATCAAAACCACATTGAGATACCACCTTACACCAGTTAGAATGGCCAAAATCAACAAGACAGGAAACAAGTGTTGGAGAGGATGTGGAGAAAGGGGAACCCTCTTACACTGTTGGTGGGAAGGCAATTGGTGCAGCCACTTTGGAGAACAGTGTGGAGATTCCTTAAGAAATTAAAAATAGAGCTACCCTATGACCCAGCAATTGCACTACTGGGTATTTACCCCAAAGATACAGATGCAGTGAAAAGGAGGGCCATCACTACCCCAATGTTCATAGCAGCAATACTCACAGTTGCCAAACTATGGAAAGAACCAAGATGCCCTTCAACGGACAAATGGATAAAGAAGATACAGTCCATCTATACAACGGAGTGTTATGCCTCCATCAGAAAGGATGAATACCCAACTTTTGTATCAACATGGACGGGACTGGAAGAGATTATGCTGAGTGAAATAAGTCAAGCAGAGAGAGTCAATTATCATATGGTTTCACCTACTTGTGGAGCATAAGGAATAACATGGAGGACATTGGGAGATGGCAAGAAGAAGTGAGTTGTGAGAAATCGGAGGGAGAGACAAACCACGAGAGACTGTGGACTCTGAGAAACAAACAGAGTTTTGTAGGGGAAAGGGGTGGGTGATTGGGTGAGCCTTGTGGTGGGTATTATGGAGGGCACAGATTGCATGGAGCACTGGGTGTGGTGCAACAACAATGAATTTTGGAACACTGAAAAAAATTTAATTTAAAAAATGAAAAAAAAGGAAAAGTTTAAGTGGGAAAAATCATATATAATGATAACACTGAATTTGATATAGATGCTTGGAAATGGTCTCCATTTCTAGACTGTGGGAATATAAACTGTAAAAATAAATTTTTTTTTTGGAGGGAACTTTGTAGTATGTATCACAGTTCCTAAAAAGAATGCACACCCTTTGATACTATTATCCCATTTTTAAAAAATATATCCTATATAAGTAATTAGGCAAAATAATTTTATCACTTCATTATTGTTCATAACAGCAAACTACACAAATTTTCATGACAAATGAATATTATTTTTAATTATGATGTAAAAATATAATAGAATATATTATGATTTTAAAATAATAATTTAAACATACATTTATTGGAGCACCTGTGTGGCATCATCAGTTAAGTCTCCAATACAGTCCGGGGTCAAGTCATGATCTCAGGGTTGTGAAACTGAGCCCTTCTTTGGGCTCTGCATCAGCGTGGAGTCTGCTTGAGATTCTCTCTCCCTCTCTCTCTCCTGCCTGTGCTCTTTCTCTCAAATAATTAAATGAATAAACCCCCAAACCATACATTTACTGATTTGAAAAGACACAGCATTTATATAATGTGTTTTGAAGTGGAAATAGAAACATTATAGGAAGTTGTTTTGGTAAAATCTTATTTTGATAAAACTTGTATGCATGATTTCTCACAAGGAATTTGAAAGCTTATATCCCAAAAATGATGGCAGTGATTTTTCTTCTAAAATATAGGATTTAAAGTTAATTTTTTTCTATTTTTTGATTATTTAGAAACTTGTAAAATTTTATTTTATTTTTTTTTAAAGATTTTATTTATTTATTTGACACACAGAGATCACAAGTAGGCAGAGATGCAGGCAGAGAGAGAGGAGGAAGCAGGCTCCCCGCAGAGCAGAGAGCCCAATGCGGAGCTCGATCCCAGGACCCTGGGATCATGACCTGAGCCGAAGGCAGAGGCTTTAACCCACTGAGCCACCCAGGCACCCCAACTTGTAAAATTTTAAATAGAAGAAATTAAGTTACCTTGTCAAATCTGTTTTATCTGGTCTCTTTGAGAACTCCATCTCCTTAAGGAAGGGGCCCCAAACCCATGTATTCATGAATATTTCTTTAGTTCTCCATACACAATGGTCAGTGTCACTAGTTTGAATGATCTGCAGTTCACCTTCTCTCACATCCCCCCAAAAATTTACAAATCTTTATCATTTTCTGTTTCTTGGAATGTCAGAATACAAGTATATGCTCTGAGATGCATAAGCCATTTAACAATTTAAACATGTTGCCTAGGGATGCCTGAGTGGAGTGGCTCAGCTAGTTAAGCCACATGATCCCAGGGTCCCGTCATTGAGTCCCACATTGGACTCCTGCTCAGTGGGGAACCCACTTCTCATCTGCCTGCCACTCCCCCTGCTTGTGCTCGTTCTCTCTCTCTCTCTGACAAATAAGTAAAATCTTAAAAAAAAAAATGTTGCCTATTTCCTCTACCTGCTTTCATCTTCTCTGGTTTGGCTTCATCAGTCTTTCCTTTTAAGACTTCATTCTTATACCCGTCTTCCTCACAGTCATCTGTTCTCATTTCTTGGCACTCTAAGGTCACTGCTTTTTTAAAACTTCAAGAAAACATTCTTCCATACCTAGTTTAATGGGATAAAAAGACCACATTTTCCATCATTTGTATATTTATTTAACTTCCATTAATGCACCTCTTTTTTTACATCTTTTAGAAAGTGGTCATATCACTATGATGTATATTGAACTTCTCACCTACTGTAAGTGTTTTCATAAAAATACTGACAAATCAGATTTCTCTCACCTCCATTTCCTAATTGATTTTTTATTTAAGTATTTTTATGTGTGTATTCATAATTATGTTTAGGACTTCACATTTCACCCCTATTATATTTTATTAACTCTAGTTCTTTTGTTTTGTTTTTTAAAGATCTTATTTATTTATTTATTTATTTGACAGAGCGATCACAAGTAGGCAGAGAGGCAGGCAGAGAGACAGGGGGAAGCAGGCTCCCTGCTGAGCAGAGAGCCTGATGCAGGGCTCAATCCCAGGACCCTGAGATCATGACCTGAGCTGAAGGCAGAGGCTTAACCCACTGAGCCGCCCAGGTGCCCCTTAACTCTGGTTCGTATCCCAATCAGAAAACTGCAATATAATTTTTAAGCTTGACAAATCCATATGAATTACATATGCCTGTAATTATCTTCCTTTGTGTATTTCTTATGCATATGTATCTTCACAAAATGATATAGTCAAATAGTTTGTTTTCCTTCAGAGATTAAG